TATATATATATATCTAAATTTAAACATGAATGATAACGAAATGAATTGTTATAGATTTTAAGGCGATATTATTTTATTTAAATAGAAAACCCTAATTTGTAAAATGAATCAATTTTATAAGACTATTTATTTGAATATTTTGAACTTCATGAGGGCTTAAGGCTCTAACCGTTCCGCCGCCGAACCCCTAAATAGCCATGCTGGAACCACAATAGGTATCACATAGAATTGTGATATGGGGCGAATCAAACGTCGTAGATCTCGCCAAGGTCGGGTGGGTTAAGACTAGGGTATAATGAACATCTAATTACCCTACAACTGATCGAAATCACTCTCTCTCTCTTCTGAAGCTATTTGTATTTTAGGGGATTTGTTTCTGTTTTCGGATTTGATTATAAAGTAAAATCATCCGGGTTTCTTCTTGAATTTTCGAGCTAGTGCACTTAATTTATTTTGATGATGTGTAGTATGGATACGTGAAAAAGAACCTCCCCCATCCGTCGAGCTAAGTCTAAGACCACAAGAAGTGCACGCCCTTCACTACCATCCATACGTCCCTAAGGTATATCCTATGGACCTTGCAGAACACCTTGCATCTTGGTTCTGTTTTTGAACTCACAGTACCCACACATTACACAACATGAGTGATGCCAACCGATCAGCATTTAATTCCCTAGAATAATTAAAGTTATAGCTTTTGAAAGTAAAACCAAACAAGTAATAAATTCTGATAAGATATATTTAAAGAATATTAATTTAAACATTAAGGTGAAAAATAATACACTTTTAGCCAAAAACTAGCTAGGTGGCCAGGCTTCCAGAATGTTTTAAGCTGATGAAGTCCCAATGGATGGGTGGCTAGAGGTGGGCGGATGCTTATGCCAAATAGGGGGTGGCAGAGGGCGAAGGACGCTTAAGAGCTGTCTGTGGCGATGATGGACGCACGGGGCATGATTGACACATGCAAAGGAGCTTTGCCAATGGATGCAACCCACCCTGTTGCCCTAATGAATTAGCGCCTCTAACATGCACTGCACATCTTTGTAATTATGCCGCCCATCCCCACCAGTTGGCCACGTCCACAGATATTTTCACTTTTTTCACTTAAACTATAGATACAGTTTTATTGCATTTAAGTAAATTAAAGTTCAAAATCAATATTACATTGTATTAATACCTGAGGAGGATGGAACGCTGGACTATGAAAGTAAAAATTACTGTTCAATCTCAGGCCACATATCCTGGCCCACGAGTCCGGTAGTCCTTTAATTAATATGTAAAAGGACGACGCCGATATGCATGACTACGGGGGATACGCACTTCACTTGTGCTCCATTTAAATAGAAAAGAAAACACTGGTGGGCGCATAAAGCCATCTGGGCATCAGTGTGTGGGCGGGTGTGCGGCGTTCCGGGTTAAGTCAAGCTCACACACACAGCCTGTACCCACAGTATACACCCATATATGGGCGGCTATTTTCCGAATAACTTGAACTCAATGCGGGGAATGAAATAAAAAAAGCGAACGCCGCCCGCCACCAACGCACTACAAAGGCCAAGCGAAAATGTGAAGAAAAAAATACCAAAAAGCGAAACTTTTTCAATAAATTTCCATCAACTGCAGCGGCAGCATCAGAGCTGCTGTTCTGCAGGGGGGTGATGGGCGGTGGGGCTACCAGTGGGCGTGTCCTCGACAAGACACTGGGTCCACGGCACAATCGATGACAGCCAACTGGAAAGCAGAGCCTGCGGTGCATTTATGCAAAATAAGAAATAACTGCACCCATGCAAACACTGAAGGAAATGTGAACACGCGCCGTCGCCTGCCAAGTGTACGTACACTCGAAAAAAATGTCTTGTAAATACCAGGAACGTTTCAATTATTCAAAATACCAACATCTCTTCTTATTAATCCAGTTTTTAAATGGTTCTTTTGATTTATTATAATAGATAGTTCTTATTGTTTATAGAAATTAATTTTATTGTTTTTAGCTTTCTATTCAAAATACCAACATCTCTTCTTATTAATCCAGTTTTTAAATGGTTCTTTTGATTTATTATAATAGATAGTTCTTATTGTTTATAGAAATTAATTTTATTGTTTTTAGCTTTCTACGATCTTTACTTTTTGTCAAATTCGGAAAAACATTTCAAGCAAAAACCTATGAAGCACTTTTTTTGCGAGTGCAGGGAACAGCTTATACGCGGTGTAGCATACTTTTTTGGGCAGCGCGTACACAAAATGAAGCCGCCCCATCTCCATCTCGATCTCCGTATCCAGCGACGTGGAGCTACAGACTGCATTTTATGTAAATTCCCACCGACAAGGGAAAGGGTCGAGTTCTTGATGCTGTCCCAATACTGCACCACACTTTCCCCCCCTTCGTCATGCAACAGGAGCACCAGAAGCAACGCCTCTTATTTACATTTACGCTTGATTCGGTTTATTTGCGCATATGCAGAGGGGGGTTGAGTGGGTGGTGGTTCAATATGCACATAGGGCTCCCATCGAAATTGAAAGACGTCAAAGATGATGATGACGATGGCAATGGCGACATGCTTACGCTGGATTTTGGCTGGCTCCCTGGCAATTGAAATGGGTTGAGTTGCCCGGCCAAGCGTTAAGTCTATCCATAAATTGCTGCCCCTCAACTGTTGCACACACACGTCCTGCAGACGAAGGCACAGGGCAGGCAGGATAATGTCATCAGTTCGAGGATACGCGTATGTGTGTGCATATCGATGTTTTGTATTTCGAATATTCCACTGGCATAACTTTCGGTCAACCGAAAACTGGGGCAAACTTTGCGGCTTGCCACTCCACAACTGACATGTTTATCAACTGCTGCGAGAACTGCATTTCGATTTCAATCCTGCTGATGAAGTGCAACCAAAGTATAATGGTCGGAGGATAAATATTCCGCATGGCATTAACTGTTGCCCGCTGTTTATTCAAATATTGTATCTATTGAAAAAATTCACTGGCCAGAATTTTAGCGTTTATTCAGTTTCAGTAATTAATTCCAGTGCTTATGAAAATATTTTCATAGCAAGTAAGTTTTTGTTTACTTACAGAATTATTTCCCAATATCAATTAAATGCGATAATTAACTTGTGAAAGTAAATCAAAATAATAGTCAGTTGAAGTTAGTTTATTATTTTTTAAAACCCAAAAGAACCAAAATTGAATGGGGCTGCTTGAAAAAATGTGACCCTTGAAATTCATGTCTCATCTGCCTGACGACTATTTGTCCATTATCTTTAAGGAGTAGGGCCACAAGTAAATTTTCCTGTTTCAACAACTCGTGTGTGAACTTTGGCCCTTAGCCCTCGGCCTGATAGATGCGATACCCTGGCAAAACAAACACAGGCGAATACACAGATGCATAAATAACTCTTATTCATTTATTTAATATGGAAAAAAGCAGGCAAGCAAACAGTTTTAAAGCAGCTTACCAAGGGAAAAAACGGCGCCGGCCATAACTACAAAGCCAACATGCAAAAAGCATCCAATACATGTCCGTGGAAAGGCCGCAAATTTATTTGCCATTGTGGTTACTTTGCCCGTGCTGGCCCAGAATCTTTCCCCCCGTGTGTGTTTCCTTTTTTAATTCCTGGCATCGAGGACCAGTACGTTTTTCTTATGGTTTTCATACTGCGATACATGATGGGCGGGCGTTTGCTGCCATGCTTCATAAAGTCGCCAAACAATTTTTTTACTCACTGGCTGTGCATATTGCATACACTTTCAATGCAGCGTGTCCTGGAAAAGAGTCCCCAATTCCCCGGTCCACACAAACATACATATATTCACTAAATGCCCACTGCCAAGGAAAACAGATGGGCTCCACTCAGCACGGAAGCTGCTCGCTCGCATTTATTAATTTTAATCATTTTTTTGACACAATTTCCGTCCTTTATATTTTTTGGAGTGGGGTAGAGGTACTTCCATTTATTGGTTGGCGCCATTCATAAAATGTCCAACATTTTTCATCGGCTTGTATTTAAACAATTTTTAATCGCACCATAAAAGCGGTATAAGGGGTCAGTAGTCGCGCACTCATCGCCGTTTCCACTCGAATCAGTAATCCCCATTAAAATCAAACTTTAGAGACGGGGCGGCTCTACCGCAAAATTTATGCAGCCCCGAAAGCGAAATGTGCCAAAAAATATGCTAAAATTATGTGAGTTTAAACCAAAATTTACTACACTTTGAAATGTGCCATGAAAAATGTTCATTGTGCGAGCGGCTGCGAGTAATTTATATGCAGAGCAACAACAACAATATCGGCAGGATTCAAAATATTTCTTTTTTTTCGCTCCGGCTCGTAGGTGGGTGGACTCTATGTAAAATGGCGTGTGAGGGTGAGTCTGTGTGTGTCAGAAAGGCGCATAAATATTTTAGTGCCTATGCGCGGCACACATTTCATTCCCGGATCCCCAAAAGAACCACCCCACCCACAAGTGTCATGCAAATCCGCATCCGTTTTATATAAATTTTCATAATGCATTTTATGCCCATGGTTTATGTATATTGGGCACCGTCCCCGCACTCTCCTCAGCGAGATTGCAGCCGTAAAATATAGATATCTGAGAACATATAGATATATATATTATATTGTCCAATATGGGTGCACTTGTGTGCGCCAATTGAACTGGTAATTGCAATATAAATGCACAATAATGAAATGATTCGTTTATATAATTCGGTCGAATCAGACTGTTTTGTTTGGCCGCGTCTCGTTGACTCGATTAATTGAATCAATGAATTTTCCAAGCGAATGAGCCATCATTATACACTTAAAAGTAATGGGAAAACATTAAGATTTTATGGTATTTTGGGATATCGAAAATTCTATTTAAAATGGAAGGAATGCATGCAGAACCCCTTCCCCAACGTTACTAGCAATTTAATAAGACATTAATAATTTTCAACAAAACGTAATGGTAAATGTTTCTCCAAGTATACTAAAAGGAATGATTGATTTTCGTTTTGCAGAGAGGGCGAGGACGGGATTTGGGAGCAGCTGGCCCGGATCTACACCAAGACGAATGCCACATCATATCAGGTGACCGGACTGACGCCCTTCACCGTCTACAGCTTTCGCCTGTTGGCGGTCAACAAGCTGGGAATCAGTCCCCCCTCCAAGGAGTCCTACTACATTGTCACCCTGCGTGAGGGTGAGTTATCCTCCCACTTGTACACACAAAACACTTTATTATAGGCAGGATCATAAACTATTCGCGTAGGCTGCTCTCACCACACACGCATTACGTTTATATATCGTACCTATAGACTGTAGTGTGGAGCCAAGTTACGCGACACATGACATAACAATTTTTACAATCGCATTAATTTTTCATTTCAATTCCAACGACTTGGCCTGACTTTTAAGTGCCGTCAATGAAAAGTTGTCACTCCCAGGTTCCCCAGCTCCGCTCCACAACTGCCAGCAATTACGGCCTCATAAACCCGGAGTCTCCTCACGTTGTATACGTTTAATTATTTTTCCGCTGACGGTAGGCCCTGCCAAGCCCGGCCCGGCTCGGCCAGGTGTGTCGTCATTTTATGATGCTCACCTGCCTGGGAGGCTCCTTCTGCATCCAACTTCCTTTTCCTGGCAATGACATTAAATTTGTCCACCCGCAGCTTGAAAGGAAACGCCATTGTAGGCGTACAAGTTCATAGGGAAAATGTAGACACTACATTACCACGCTCAAAATTTATTTTTTTATTAAAAAATTTTTTTTTTTAATAATGCCTTTATTGCCTTGAAGGTTTTGTTAAATCATTCAAAACAATATACAACTGCTACAAATATAATATGACACATTTATTTAATGCTACAAAAAAGGAATTATTTCTTTTATTTTCAAGCTATACAAGTTTATTTATTTTTTCAGAATAAAAAACCATTCAATTGAACGCAATTGTCTACGAGTTTTAAATGAATTTAAGCAAAAAACATACATTTTAGTGAAACTTTTCATTTCATTAACAAGCGGTGACAGATCCGAGGAACCTTTCCATTTAAAAAGTTAAAGTTGGATGTAATTATGTGCCTTGTCCTGCAGAATGCACTTCTTTGCCTCTGGATCCTTGACAGTTCATGTCGTTTGGCCGACATTTCACCTGCTGCCATTTCTGTTTCTGTTTCAGTTCCTGTTTCGGTTTTGGCTGCTGCCGCAGACAATGATTAATCGTATGACCGTGCGTGTCCCACATGCGTACATCCCATATCCATATCCATCCGCCCCTACATACTATAAATGGACTCCAAAAAGTCACAAAACTTTCCGTAGGCTTTAAGAGCGCGAGACACATTAATCAAAGTGAAAGTAGCAGCAACAGCAGCAGTGGCAGCAGCAGCGGCAACGGCGACAAGCTATTAGCAACACATTTGTCTTGCGGACATTGAAAATGACTTTGCCACCAGGCATTTTCGGTTTTGTGCGGTGTGAAATTCCATTTATGTTGCCGCACGCACAATGGAATGCGACCCGAAGCAGCCGAACCTGTGAAGCTGGCGAAGCTGCAACACATGCGGTTACAAATTAGTCAATAGTGCTGAGTCCCCCGCTCTTGAGCTCATTAAGGTCCTTTGCCTCATCGGCCCTCCTGGTGAGCCACGCATGTACATACATTCACTGCGGTCGCCGTCCAAGTTGCCAATTTGTATAAATTAGGCCTGCGGAAAGCATAAATTAACCAAACGGCAAGCCTACTCGGCAATAAGGCACATTGTTCTTGAATCTAAGCGGAGAAAAAGCGAAAACTTTTCAATTTTCAAAGCAAACTTTGGGTCGCAGCATCAATGTCAAGCCGAACGACACAAAATATCTTTTAATTTATTTATAAATTCATTAAAGTATGCAAGGCATTTTCAACCTCCATCCTCCACCCTCAGATTGTTGGCAAAGTGCCAGATCATCCTTAGCCAGGCTTACCTGCTACACTTTGGAATAATTCCTTTATCAAATTTACAACTCAAAGGCCTGGCTCATCCCAAATTAAGGACTCCGTCGCAGTATTTTTCGAGTGTACCTGAGCAACACACGCATCATTTAACTTGCGAGTAATGCTCGCAGACATGGCCAAAAATGGGAAATGGCTGGGCCAAATAGGCAAGAAGTCCACCACCGTTGGCTCAATCCACCAAGCTAAGCCCAGTTGCTATCCGAAAAGCGGCCGTGGCACTTGCAACTTATGTTGCGTGACAGTGACAACTTGACAATGCCACAGACAACGTTCCGCTTTACATGACAGGTCAGAGTTTCTCGGGGCGGAGGACGAACAAAACTTTTGCGCGGCGTTTTTAATTTCGAATTTTTGAGTTTTCGGAGTGGAACTTTTACCCAACCACCCTGGCAAAGTTTTCGGGCCTAACCCAATCTCATTCATTCATTTCGACTTAATCTCTTGCAGCTCCCACGGGCAAGCCCATTCCCACAACGGCCCACAACACGTCCTCCACCTCGGTTTACATCTCCTGGAAGCCCCCGCCTCCGGACACCATTCTGGGCGAGTTCCTGGGCTATCGAATCACATATCGACCGCGCGATCGGGACCCCAATGATACCAAGGAAATCTACATTCGGGATAATACGGTTGAGGTAAGTTTGCATATTCAAAAATATTCGTATTTAGTCGTACAGGCCAACGATAATTGAATTTCATGATTTCTGACACTTGGCCATATTGGAAATGCACTGCTGAGGTTAAAGTGCACTGGAAAAAATGTTTAAAATAAGAAAATCCTATGAAGGCATATTTAAAAGCTGTTATTCATATTTTTGCGTCTATAATCTATTCTTAAATTTAAATACCTAAATAAACTTTTTTTTGAATTTCAATAATATTTGACAGTGCAGCAATAGAGGGAAACATTTCATGTCCTGCCCTGCAGCGTCATTCAATTTCGCATTGGTTTCGGTTCGTGTCTGTCTGCCCTGCCACGTGCATATCATTTTCTATGCCACAAAAACTGGAGGACTTGCCACACCATTCCCTACACTGTGCCATGTTTGGGCTTTAAGTTTGTCTAAAAATATTTCTGGCGTGTCATTCGCTGGCTTAAAGTCACATCAGCGGCGTATTAAAAACTAATTTACACCTGGCCGAAAGTAAAACATTTCCCATGCACCTACACTCCAAAACACTCCAATCCTTACGCACATAGGGAAGCCTGAAACCAACACACAGACACACTTGGAGCAGGGTTACAAGTGTTTTTCGGTGGGCACCTGTCAAGGTGTTGCCGGGGGGCATACACCATATCTCGTTTGGGGGCACAATATCACTGGCAATTTGTTAACGATTAGCTCTCAGCTGGGGCCAGTTTGCCAGTTTTGTCTAGGCCAAAAACAGTGGGTGTGGTGTTTGGTAGCTGAGCACGCAAGTTGCCTAATAAAATAACAGGGAGTGAAGAGCGAGAAACTTGGGGCGGTGCCCGAACAAATAACCTAGGAATACCTTTCAACAAAAGGAGCTATTTCGAGTGGGGGAATCTAGCTTACTTCAGTTTGATGAATTCTATAGTGAGTATTCGAAAGACATTAGTTCTGTATTTATAAGCAACTAAATGGGCTTAAAGTTGCATAACAATAAATAAAGAAACTCAGGAACACCTACTTTTGGAAACTAAAATTCCAACACACTCTGAATTCCAGAGAAGCTTAGTTAGCCTTGAGCTTCGAGCCAAGCCAATAGCCATTCTCTGGGGCCGTTTAAGCCAAATTCGAAAGCCGAGCAGAGGGAATGCATTGCTGAATTTTGTCGGATGCATTTGCCATCCGGATCGGGAGCGGGTGGCTAAAAATATGCAAAAATTATTAGCGATAATGCTCACGTACGACACTCGTCGCGACGCAGTGGCCAAAAAAAATGGAAGTGGGCTGAGAAATGGGAGGACGCCTGATTGCCACAAGCATGGCACGCTTTTGTGCTCGAGTGCATATTTTGTCCTTATCTCGACGAGGCCCCCCAGTCACTATCTGTCTCTCTCTTTGCGCCTCTTCTCCTCTGCCCTGGGGCGGGATTCTCCTCTATTTTTCTCTCTTTTGCATGTCGCTGGCATGTTGAAATATTATCCTTGCAGGCAGAAACGTGCGACTTTAGTTATATCTATTTTTTCCTAGAAATCTGTGCACTTAAAAAGAATTTCCGACTTCAGTAAACAACGACTTGAGAATAAGTAACTAAAACATGTTTTAAACATGTACTATTCGATAAAGACGTCCTTAAAATTGAAAAGATTCCGTCGAAAATCTAAACAAAATCTTTAAGTCTTTTGTTTTTTTAAGTTTGGCTTTCTAAACTTTTTTTTCAAGTGCTTGTATGTTTTTCTGCTCAAGTCATTTGGTGGAGTCCAGGACATGGCTTTCTGTTATTCCCATATCGCAGCATCAGCGTTCGGGAGCCTGCGGCTTGTGCCGACCTGCCACGCCCTCTTTACGCCCTCGCATGTTGGCCAGCCCGGATTCACATTGAGCTGTCACGTGTGTGAGGTGGAAAAAAGAGAGGGCCGGAGCTGGAGTTCTCCAACATCGCTAGCAGGACTAAATTTGCCAATTTTCTAATTAAAATTTCTGCGCCGTAAAGCATAAATTTCGCAACTTTCACGCAGATAAAAGCCGGAAAGTCGAGTCACACGATATCTCAAAGGACTTTTGCTCAAGCGGGAGTTCTTGCAGAAAAAAGGGAAAAAACTGTCCAACGGTGATATTGTTGAGCTGAGTTACAACAAAAAAAAGTAAAACTCTGAAAAGTACATATAAAATGGAGGGTTCACAGGACCCTTTTTTTTCGCCGACATTTGGATTTGTTTGACAGATGAAATTTGCATCCGTTTGTATGGCTATTCTTGGGTTATCCGCTGGTAGCTCAACTCACCAGCAACAGGGCCGTCAACGTGTCGGCAGTAATTAACGCAGAACAGAGAGAAATTTAGATGATTATCTCACAGCTTCGCACTTCCAAAGTTATGCAATATGCCGGAAATTTGGTAACTTTATCAATTACATTATATCAATTACGTGGCCCTGCCCTTGGGCAGCTCCAACTTTCAGCGCTATCCATAAAAATAAAAGCAGTTGTAAATTTTCGGCCTCATTTACTGGCGACTAAATAAAATGGAATTATATGAGCGTCCACCATATAAAGCAACTAAATCCAGCCAATGAAGCTTTTATACGCAGATTTACAGTCGTGGTGGCAAAAGTAGTTCTGCTTCTGGGCCAGTAAAAATACTTATAGGTATATTACAGATAATGCCAACATGTCTTTATGCACGTAGACTAAAATCTCTTAAAATATTTATTGTTTTTGATCCAATTTGTTGTCTGCATCGTATGTCTTTGAACTTGGCTGTAAAAGGCCATGATGGGCCAGAAGGTTATCACGCTTTTCGAAGAAATAACTGCGATAGTAGTTGGCGCCGTCTGAAAATCCGTCTGAAAAGCAGCCACTTAAGCTGTTGGCATGGCAGTCAATCCGCTGCTTAGAAGAGCCTAGAACTCGCATAGAAGCCCGGCCGAAACCCGTTGGGTTTGCGGCTTAACCGCAGACACACACACAGCAGATACACATTCGCATACCCGGCCAAAAACCAAGTGCGGGAGCATCCTAATGTATTCTACATAATTTTCACTGACCGTTGAATGTGTGAGTGGCAGTGTGAGTGTATGTGTATGTGTGGGAAAACCACTCTAAGTCTGCGGCTTGTTTTATGGCTTGGCACTGCTTTTGACCTTTGGTTAAACTTTAATCAGCCGCACTCTGCTCGCGAGATTCACGGACAAAGCCAAAGCGAAGCAGATACGCTTATGGTAAATCCAGGATATACCGAAGCAAGTGTACATATGTGTGTGTGTGTGTGTGGTGGGGTGTGGAACGGCAATTAAGGCAAGGACTACTGCTCGTTGCCCAAGCAACTCAATTTCCTTTTGCACCGACGAGGCAGCACTGCAAATCAATTTTAAGTGCTGCAATTTTCATATTTGCCAACGGCAACGCACAAAAGTATGCAACGCGCAATTTCCGCTCCAAGCATGCACAATGCCAAAGGGGCGGGGCAGGAGCTAGTGTATGGCTCGAGTAGGCAGGGCTGGTGGTGGTGGTGGTGGGGCTGCTGCTGCTGGAGAGAAGCACTTGCTGCAAGTGCTCCACTTTATTTTGTTATGCGCCTTTAACGGCCAACAAATGAAAAGTCTTTGGTGTGCACAGCAAAAAATCCAACAACCTTAATAATAAGTTTACAATTCAATGAGTTTGTGGCTTGTGAAAAATACAAGTACTTGGGAAAACTTTCCTTAATAATAGAGTTCTCTAAACAAAGACAGTTTTACTCTTAAGGGTATATTAAAGGGGCCCATCCACAGGCGAGCATGTTCGACGAACATGTTGTGCTCGACGAAATTTTTCCTGTGGATGGTAGTGTTCGTTGTCAAATTTTGTGTTCGTCAAAATGTTCGAATGGAATTGAAATCGTTCTATTTTGACAATGTTGGCAACAACATGTTCGTAAATGGATGGCAATGTTGGCACGAACGTCAGTTGGAAAAACGTTTTTGTAGAGCAAAATGAACAAAACATTCCTGCTAGATTTTATTGATAGCCTAAAAAATGAGCCTGCGCTATGGCACGCCAAAAGCGATGCATATAAAAATAAGCAATCGCGTAATAATGCATGGGAAGTTCTACTCAAAAAATATAAAGAGTTCGATGAGCACGCCACACTAGAAACCGTTAAGAAGAAAGTCAATTCGTTGCGTGCTTCATATAGACGAGAACTACAAAAAGTGCATCGAAGTGAAAAATCAGGCGCTGGAGTGGACGATGTTTACCAGCCGAGCTTGTGGTACTTTAGTGAGCTGTCTTTTCTTAATGAAACAGAATCCATTTGTTTTTTCTTTTTTTCTAAGCAAATACTTATTGCCATAAGTGCAATTACAGTGCCGCTGTCGTTGTCCGTGGACATGTTGACAGTTTGAAAATATTTGACAGTTTTATCGAAAAATGATGTTCGCACGAATGTTGGCTCTAGTTAGTGGGGAAAATGAAATTGAAGTAGGCGAACATGTTCGTCGAACATGCTCGCCTGTGGATGGGCCCCTTAAGTAATTTTCCATTTGACTTTATGATGTTTTTTTTTGCATTTTAAAGCAACCATTTAAATAATTCTTTCAAATTTCCGTCTTGATTGCAGAGCCATGAGATACAGAATCTGCAGACCTACACTCAGTACAAGGTGACCGTGCAGGTGTTCAACCCCGAGGGCCTGGGACCGGAGACAACCATCCTGGTGATGACCGACGAAGGAGGTGAGTGTTCAAGTATTCAAGTGTTCAAGTGCCGAGTGCCGATGAATATGCAAAATTCCTCACATGCTCACATTATCAATGATGCATGCCACATAGTGCATCGCTCAGAGAGCCTCGATTGGCATCCAAACGATGGCCACAAGTCAATAAGTTTCTCGACCGACTATTTTTCACATATCTCCGAACCGCAAAATTCCAAATATTACGGCTTATTGACATGCCAGACAAGTGACCAGCCAGTCAGCTGAAACTCCGATACCACCAGAAACTTATACACATCCTTTATACGTATTCGTATTCTTTGCCATATTGTACAAATCCAATTGAAGATGCAGATCCCGGGCAGTGTCAGAAACAAATTTTGCCTTTGTGTGCAGTTTTAGTTTTTGCCAGCTTCCTTTGCCTTTCTCGCTTCGGATTTTTATGTGGATGTGAAGGCAACTTTGAGATTCGCTCAACCACAAAATGCCTCGACCATGCAATGAAGCAAACAAATAAAAGTTTAACTCAGACCAGAGGCTAAGGAAAATATGTTGCAATTTTTCATATTTTTCACCCCTTCCGCCGGCTTGGCTTTCTCTAAAATCTCCGAGCAGTTGGAAATCCGCTGCAGACCGCAGCCCTAGCTTCGGTGGGCGAACTGTATCAAAATGTAAGGATACTCTCACAAACAAATACGAAAATACAAAATAAATATTGCTTACTTAAACTTTTGCCATATGCTGCTCAGTCAGCAACAAAAATTGGCCAGGCATGTCCTTTTCTGTTTCGGTATTTTCGCCTCAACCATGCCCCTTTCTAGTCCTTTGTGCTCAGGCATATTCCTATTTTATTGCAAAGGAGTTTATTGTATTGCGTTTGATGGGGAAAAATGTAATCATTGAGGAAACTCTAGGAAAATGGTATAATTTTAATGATTCAATAAAGGAATTTATAAATTTTGCATCTTTTTCATAAATATTTCATAGCAGATGTCCTGCGATAACCATCACTTATAGTCCGATTAGCGGGTATCCAGGCGTCGCTATGGACCTCAATAATAGCTCCTTTATCCTTTCTCGGCTTTGTTATGGCTAGTCCCTTCCAATTCCTTCGATTCCTGCACCGGCACGTGGATTTCCGCTGGCATCGTTTCACTTGATATCACCAGACGCTGCCGCCGCCGCCGTTTGCGGAAGTGTTGATGCCATAGACGCCGGCCGTCTGACTTTTCGGAACGTAAATTATAAGCAGTTGGTCATAAATAAATCGGGCGGATAAAAAACTCCGCCGCCGTGTGCGAGCTCACACCATGGACGGGATATGGGGGGGATGGGGGGATTTAATTTCCTGCAGTCAGCGCAAATCTGTTTGCATAAGCGCGTCTTCGCCAAACATTGCTCCAATGCGCTCCAAGTTTTTTAAGCGCTCTAAGACCCCGAAACTCTTTTGAAAGTTGCCAAAGCTTAGCGGCATAATTAGCATAAAATTCTGCGGAAAATCCTTTGCCAGCGTGGGATTGAATCCGGGCGACTTGGGCCGAGTGCCGTTCAACGGAGTCTCAGTTTGCCGGAAACCAAATAAAATCAGATTCGATAAAAATGAAAATATGGTGGCAGTCCCGTATGGATTTGTATCTCATATTTTTTGTACAAGCTGCCCCCTGGGGTGTGGGTAAGCTGCTTTCCAGTTCGAAAGAGAGAGGGAGATGGCACTGATGGAATGGGACAGGAGCAGCGAGAAAATATAACTCTGGATTTTTGCGACAGCTGGCATAACTCTGTAATTTCCGAATTTTCCACGTTGCTTTTCCATTTATGTTTGGGATGTGCCAAGGCAACCTGGCAGGTGCAGACGGGCAAAGCTTTCTGAGGATTTTCACCGGCTTAGGCAGCAACTTTAACCAAGGCCAAGACTCATCTGCTCAGCTGCGCCTAATAGAATTTGGCCAATGTGTGGGCGCGGTGGGCGTGGGCCTGATGCGCGTGGCAGTTGATTAATTACCCTCGAATATTCGCCGCAAAGCCGCCGTCAATATTAGGCCTCACAAAACCAAAACGGAAGTTTCAGGAAGAATTTTTTGAAACAAAAACCTGATGCAGGTATTACACAAAGTTAGAGAATATTTTATAATTTAAAATTTTACACTTATGAATATATATCGTTGAAATGGTTGAACCACGACGTCCTTTGGAATTCAATAATTAAAAAATGTCTCCGTAATTTTCTTTTGTGTAAAAAGAATTTCATTTTCAACTCAAGTTCACAAAATTCATAGAAGCTCGTGCTGTGGCGAACTGTTGCCTGCAATGCGACCACATGCGGTGAAAATTATGAAGCCATGCAGCAGAGCTTAGCAGCAGGAGCAGGTCAGAAGCAGGAATCCGGGGGCCAATGGGCGGAGGACAAACGGATAATGTCCTCGGTTGGAACTCAACTCAAGTTCAGGGCGATTGCAAAACAATTCTAGGGCTTCACGAGCTTTGCTCTTCGACTTGAGCCGCTCGACAGGCCGTCTTTGATTAGATATTTTCCACTTTCTTTCCGTTTGTCTGCCTTTGTTATTGCGTTTTAACTTTTGACATTGGCACGAGCTTACTGGGGCCTCCATTCCCCCAAATAGTCTTGTTTTCCTGGCTGGCCGGCACGCACTAGGATTTCAGTTGGCCCGGTCTGGGGGAGGGCTTGTGGCCAAGTTGATATTTCCTTTTGTTGCTCTCGAGGTTGCTTCTTTTTTTGAGACTTTGTATCTGCAGTGCAGACAGCTCAAGAGGCGTTCTCGGCCCGGCCCCAAACACTTGTCGCATGACAAACAGCAAGACAGTCCAGGACAATGGTAATGGCTCTGTGCCCTCTTTCTTGATAACTTCGTTTCGTTTCGTTTTCATTTTGTTTGTGTACATGGCCAACACCCGATAGTCTTTTCTGGCGTTGTTAGACAACTTTTGACTTTAACGCGTCCTGTTACCTCGAGCCTTAGTTTCCTGACATGGCCTTTGCACCTTGAGCCAGGCACGAGGTTAGCCGGTTCAAATCAGATGAAGTGAACCGGTTGAGAGGGAATACACAAGTGGCAGACGGTAACTGAAGCCGAGAAGCGATGTCCTGGCAGGCTGCAATATAATTTGTCTGATGCCCCAGGGCAGCTGCCGGCTGCTCCTTAAATTCAAATTTTTAATACCAACAACAAGCAGTCACTGAAATGACTTTGAGCCATTTCTCTCCGACGGCCAAAATGCAAAATCAAGGCAACCAAAATAAGCGCTCCATTAGACACGCTTGTTAAGCTCGAAGCACTTGAAAAAATATTGCTTGTTCAATATAAATAAGTCAGTTTCTAAAGGGTAATTGATGGCTTTATTATTTTTAAAAAATTTAAGGCTTAGGGTTATAAAAGTGTTCTTTAAGTTAAATTCGAGCTGACTTTTTTCCAACAGTGTAAATGCATCTGGTGCATCTTTAGCCTTCAGCAATTTATCACCAGTCGTTAGTCAACGCCCAAAATGGGTGTGGCCCTTCCACTAGCTGTGCAACTTGTGCATCCAAGGAAATTAATTAATTAATAGACACACGCACAGATCCACCTGGGCGAAAATAAAGAAAAAATCACCATTGCATTTGAGGAAATGTTGCCACTCATTCCGAGTGGAAACTAAGGTAAATGGAAAATTGAGAATGGAAAATGGAAAATCCATTTGCACGGCACGCGGACTGTCAAAAGCTTGTGGCAGTCTAACCAGAATCCAAAATCCACCGGCGACCAAGTTTGCAGTGGCAGTGCGCCCTTAGTTTTCGACTACAAAATTAATTACCTTTGGCTACTTTCAACTAGCTGCGGTTGGGGCTCATCGAGGTGGTTACCTTGCGTTGCCTCCACCCCTGACTACCCTCGGAAAATGGAAAACCACCTCGAAAAGATGGTTCAGTGCATCCGTTGACTGCTTTAAACAACAAATGGAAAAAATACGGAGAGATAGCGGACTAGAACCCAAAACTCTGGGCGCAAGTTTCCTTCGTAGAAAACTGCGGGCGACTAGCGGAAGTGACAAGCTGCAGCGGGTGGGGTGGGTGGTAATGCAACTGCAACAAAAACAACGCCAGCGACAGCAACTAGAGTAGATAAAGCACCAGAGAGTGAGCTCTTCAGGGCCATAATGAATATGTAATACACTTTAAGGCTTAAAAATAATTAAGAGCGGGCTTTAGAGCAGGAGCTTAGGGAAAATAAATTATTAAGCTTTAGAGTTCTAAAAATAAAATAGGTATTTTGTTTATGAAAATATCTACTTTAAAGAAATATCCATTATTAGTTCTCCCTGATATTGATTCTCCCAAAAAATGCACAAAATCCAAAAATGGCAATATGCAAATTTGCAAATCAACCCTTTGGGGCTGATGGCCTTTTCGGGAAAGGGTAGCAAGATGCCCGCAGCAAAAAGCGTTAAGACAGTCTGGAGTATCAAAGGAAGAGGCGGGCCAGGGGCGGGTCGAACGACGAAGGACGAAGGACCTGCAGCGGATAAGGTACAACGTGAAAAGTATGTTTTAATAAAAGCGGAAATGAAGCAGCGTTACCGTTATTTCCTGTTTGCGCACAGTTTTGTTTGCGGCAGAGGAAGGGAGGGAGGGTGGCAGGAAGACGGGCGAGCAGTCAAGAAGGCAGAAGCGCACTAAGGCCAGCTGCATTTTCATTCCCGGCAAACCAAAAATGATAAACCGCAAACCACTTAAAAAAGTTCCAAGCAACAGCAACGCAGGCAGCGAAAACTTTTCCTAAATAGACGAAATTAATGAGCACCATCATGGAGGCGAGGAAGAAGCGCCTGGCCGGCGGGTCAGATGGGCCTCCCAGTCCCAGGATAAGCCACGAAAACTAGTAACGAGCCAGCTGAGTCACAGCGGAAACTTTAGTATTCATTGATTGAATTAATTTTAAATAGATCGCTGGGATACAAGCTTTAAATTTACCTCTTTCTTGCCGCATTTGCAATTACTTTATGACCAGGCACTCCAGAATGGGG